TCTCCAGACCTCAGTCCAATAGAACATCTTTGGAGGGAGCTTAAACTCCGCGTTGCTCAGCGACAGCCCCGAAACCTGACAGATCTAGAGGAGATCTGTGTGGAGGAGTGGGCCAAAATCCCTGTTGCAGTGTGTGCAAACCTGGTCAAGAACTACAGGAAACGTTTGACCTCTGTAATTGCAAACAAAGGTTTCTGTACCAAATATTAACACTGATTTTCTCAGGTGTTCAAATACTTATGTTCAGCAGTGCAAGACAAATAAATTCTTTAAAAATCATACAATGTGATTTCCTGAAATTTTTTTTTTAATTCTGTCTCTCAGAGTGGGAATGCACCTACAATGTGAATTTCAGACCCCTCCATGATTTCTAAGTGGGAGAACTTGCAAAATCGCAGGGTGTTCAAATACTTCTGTTCCTCACTGTAATTAAACAGGATTTCAAATTGGCTTTGGCTAGACCTGCTATCCAGTCAACAGTGATGCCCTCCACCCTCCCGATGCCATTGGTGATAACATCTTCTCTCCATGTTTGGTCTCTCTTAGCCCTGCTGATGGTGCTGAGTCCCATGTCCACCCAGTAGATGGTGTCATTCTCTGAAAAGGATGAGGCCTTTTGTGTCACTCTATAAATACACCTCACCAGCATAATGACAGATTTCAAATGTGACTCGCCATCTAGTCACTGATGTCCCTCGGCGTCACTCACCGGCATGGAAGTCAATGCCGACAGCCAGAGAGGTGCCCGACACTGGGACCAAGGCGTCAGATTTGTCTGCTGGGTCAAGTGGTATCCCTCGAATTCCCTCATGAACAGAATAAAGCAAGAACGAGCCCATACCTGCTCAGAGATGGGACAAAAACTGTTTGTTTTGAGGACACATAGCATTCCTACTGTATGTGCGAGTGTAGTTGTGAAGCTGTCTTACCTTCACAAGACTGTTGTCCTCTCTTGAGGCTATACCCAGCAGTACACATACAGGCCCTGGTCGTTAGTGAAGTAGGCAAGCAAAGCTGGGAGCAGTCGCCATTGTTATTGCTGCATAGGTTTATCCCGGCTAGAGGAAAAGAACACACAAATTGAGATAATGTTTTGAAAAAGACAAATACTCTTTTCCTCTCTAGTGAATTGAACTTAATTTAAATTGGCTTTCAAATTCTTTCTTGTTGAATTACATTGTGGCTCATTACTCGCAAACCCAGAAGCAGGTACCTTTGTACCAGGGATATACTGTATTTATTACCTTTCTGCACATCCTCATCATAGATCCTCATGTGCATCATTGGGGAGGTGCTGTTTCGCATAACCTTCCAGTTTCCTCCATCCTTCTTGTCACATGTTCCTATCTGGTCAGTTGCCTGGTCTGCCCACCACAGCTTGTCTCCTACAGTGAAGGAAAATAATTCATATAGTTCCCTTTAACATAGAATTATGACTGAAAATGGCTTACAAAAAACAAAGAGGGTAATTTAGCAGGAGCGTTATCTTTTTTGCCCCATCTTACCCATTATAGCCAGTGCAGTAGCCTTGGTAAGTTTGCCTTTAACACCTTCCAGTATCTCCAGTTTAGATCCATCCAGCTGACAACGGTTGATGGTGCCATTTCCTGAGCTGATCCAGTATAGCTGTTCTTTATCATAGTCAATGGAGAGGCCTGAGGGAAAAGAACGGCAACACAATTATCTCTTATATGTTTATCTGTGCTTTCATCCTGTGTAGTTAAATAAAGAGTCAGTATTATTTTGCAGTCTGTTGTTTTTGAAAGTACACATGCTCACCCACTGGTCCTTTCTGACTGGTGAAAAGTGTGGTGCGGTTGCTACCATCCATATTAGCCATGCTTATGTTGTCACCATCAGTCCAGTACAGCTTTCTGAGGAGGGATATGAACAATGTGTGATGTGGATTTAGGCTGAAGTCTGCTCTCTACCAAAGACACATTACAGTAAAACACAACAGGAGCAAAAAAATGTGGAAAAACAAGAGACTCATTGCCCTTCCCCGAAAATATTCACCAAAGTGCTTAAATAAAATACATAAGTAATTAATGAAAAGCAAAACTGTACAATCAAAGCCTGTAGAGATTTACTTAAGTATTATTAGGTGAAACCAGAAAAAGACTACTAGATAGAGCATTCACACATTAAGCTGAGCACAGGCCCGAGCAACCGGAGGGAACACTCACCCCAGTAGAGGGTGCACCACCAAATAGTGGGGCTTGTCTAAACCCTGGATGACAGCATTTTTGAAAGATCCATCCAGTCTGGCCACATTGATCTGCTTCTTATTGGCATCATAGCTGGTCCAGAAAAGGTTCCTGGACACCCAGTCTACTGCCAGCCCATGGGCATTAGGAAGGTCTAGTGAGTGCCAGCACAACAAAAGATTAAAGACTTCCCTGAGAATGCAGTGTGTTATCACAGATTATTTTAATGTCCAATAACTCTTGAAAAAAAACCCATGCATTTTTACAAGTCTAAGCTTCTAACTGAAATAAAAAGAACTAAATGAAATTCTGAACAGATACAGATATTCCAGGTATTGTCCTTACCAGCAGACACAACAGTCTCTACTCCGGTGCCGTTGATGAAAGCTCTCTTGATTGTCTGTGTTCGGACATCTGACCAGTAGATGCGATGCTCCACAGCATCATAGTCTACCACAGTTACATTGTCTATGTCTGGTACAGTGAAGGAAATGATGTAGTTGTAGTAAGGATTGTCGATGTCGACGCCTCGGATTTCAATCTGACGAGCGTAAAGGAGGAACTTGCGGGACTCTGGGAAGGAAAAACAAACAGAGTAAGAAAGTTTTTAATCATTTTTATTGCACTTCAAGTTCAACTTTGACACATCTATACTCTTACAGGTTGATTGTGATCCAAGGTTTAGTTAAGTTTAGGCGTCTTCTCACTGTACTAGCCATACAATCAACAAGAGCCAGCAGGATCCCAGGAGAAGAAGCTGAAGAGGGTCAAACTAATCAGTCAGCAACCTGCTGTCCTTGTCTGTGCTTGATTATCTCCTGGGAGACAGGGGGTGGAGATAACCCATAACTCCCCCTCAATCAAGAGTTTACAGAACTGAAAATAAGTTTAAGTAGTGAATGTGAAGATTTGACTGAAACTCTGCTGTGCTCCCTGAAAAATGGCTACACTGTGGTTTGGCATGTGCTGTTCGGGACTGTTTCATCCCAAGAACAAGTGGGAGCCCAAAATCTGAATTATACATCGACAAATGAAAAATACAACTTTAGCAAAATTAATTAGATTTTCCAATTGTTTATTTCCTATATGGTAATTCAAACATCCCCCTAATCCAACCATCCTTACAGATACACTGCTCAGATGATGATTGTTCTGTAGAATCCTAAACATTCAGGCAGACACTCAGAATAAGAGCATGTGCAAATCAATCCCCACAGCTACCAGTAAAAACATCATGAAACCACACTGCAAAGCCATAAGTATGTACATTTCAGCACGCCACTTGTGACAGTCTTTTATATGAAGTGAAAGTGAAAGTGAAAGGAACAAGACAAACATCAAATCTTCTGCATTAAGAGATGACAGCTGGTGATGCCGATGTCATGTTTGAGAGCAGTCCTGGCAGCAGTCCCGACAGTTGTGAGGAGAGATCCTGCCCCCACCTCTTTGATGACATGGATTAAATATGACAGCGTCGTCATTACATTCTCCCTCAAAGTGGCTTCTAAGGTGAGAGAAAAAGTCTGTGGGTGTGTGCTTGTGTGTGCCTAAGCAACAGCATCTGTCTGTACCTTTGCAGGTGCGTTTGTCAGGCTGTAGCTTCATCAGGTGAGGGCAGGCACAGGAGAAGGTCTGGTTGAAGTTGATGAGACAGAGGTGAGAGCAAAGGCCTTTAGCACCACTGGTGGCACATGGGTTGGGAGCTAAAAGAGACCATGACGGAAATGTAGGAAATAAAGAAAAAGACATAAAAAAGACAGAGAAGCTGTGGGATATAAGAGACTTAAAAACAGAAGAGGTATCTCCTTAGAGTCTCACAATATGTTCTCCAGAATGGTGAAAACATTTTCAAAAACTCAGAAGCATGAGACTAAAGATAAGTAGACTAAACATTCTAATATCAGACTATGCAACTAATTTTAAGTTGAGACGCACTTAAGAGTCTCACAGTCAAAGTGTAATCTTCTCATTTTTTATGTGTGTAATGGATATTTCCATCATTTAACCCTCAAGAAAAGTAGATTGCAGAAAAAGACTTCCTGTCAATACAACTTGTTACCTCATCACTGTCACAGGCACTGGTTGCAACTGTCAATCAACAATTCTGTGAGATCTCTCTTTTCCTGCCTCCAATTACAGGACCTAGGTCCCACACAACCCATGGGATCCCATAGGCACTGGCTACTAACATTAAGCTGACAGTTCAAAGTGACAGAACGGTTCAGACAATCTTGTCAGTCATGTATGTTTGAGGCTTTATTTCCTTCCCAGCTGGTGGGAAATGGAAAACAGAGAGGTGACTTTGTGATCAGTGAGCCAAATCACTGCCAGCGGGAGAAAACAAAGTGTCCCACAGCTCTAAAAGGTCAGTTGTCTTTGGGGAACAGAAGGCATGAATCAACGTGGTCGGCAACCATTTCTCCTTTGAGTTAAAGCCCAAAGGTGAATCTGAAATCTCTCCCTGTGAGCGTGTGCTTTTCCACCTGTAGCTTGTGTGCAACCTACCCTGAGGTTGTCTGGATGGATGATACACCTGCAAGTCAAAGGGCTGCGTGTTGGTCCGCTGGACTACAGTGACATTGTGTCCTGTCCATTTGTTGGCTTTGGCCAGAGTGTTAGTCCTCCAGTCAGTCCAGTAGACCTCGCCTCCATACATAGTAACCGCAAAGGGGTGGGACAAATACTCATGACCCCGCAACACTTCAATCAGCCCAGAACCGTCATACATAGCAGAGTAGATAGCATCTGACCTGCAGAAGCATTAAGGCACAGATGTATATATTACATAACAGGGGTAGCATGTGCATCAGCTTAGCTATATGGATGTTGCTCATGTTACTAGATGAGCCTGTACTTTGTATGTAGTTTTACATAAGCTAAGCACATCTGCATTTTTATTTAAAAACTGCACAATGGCAAGAAAAGAGAAAAACAGAGTATGCAGGTGAGGTAATGAGTGAGCGGGTGGATGCAGTGCAATAAGAGCGCTCTGTATATTCAGAGAATGGCAAATGCTACCTGGCATCAATCCAGACAATGCGCCTTTCCATGTAGTCTACAGTGAGCCCGTTGGGCCAGCCACCACTGCCCGTTTCCCTATGAATTGTGCGTCTGCCTTCACCACTCATAGATGCGGCCTCAATCCTAGGCAGACTGGCATCCCAGTCTGTCCAAAACAGGATACTGCCGACAGAAAATAAAAAATGTGAGGAGGGATTAGCACGTGTGTGTACAGTATTAGCACTTGAGAGCATCACTTTCACAGATAATGCTGTAGGAGTAATGTATCCTACACTAAGGCTTCTTGACTGTTGACAACTGAACTGTAAATTCTGTGTAAGAACAACACATACATATAAAGGGTGATTACAGCTTTAGAATCTCTTGATCTACGCCTCCTACCCATCACGAGGGTCGAGGGCGATGGCTCGGGGATGCTCCACCTTCCCGGCCAGAAGGGTGGTTCTCATGGTCCCATCCAGTTTGGCCACCTCAATCTGGTCCAGATTGCTTTCCACCCAGTAGATGTTTCCTGCTATCCAGTCCACAGCCAGGCCCTCAGGAGTAGCCAGTCCGTACTGGATCACCACCTCAAAACTGGTCAAGGCTGACCAGAACACACAGAGAAAGGAGGACTCAGAACTAGGATGATGCTAGGTTCTTTATCATCTATTTGACAAATTGAAAAAAATTATCATCATTATTATTATTTGCTTTTTATAGAATTTAATCTAAGTGGGTTTTAGAAAAACCAGCACACATGGTTCATTGCAAAAACCATCCTACATACTACTTTGAATTTTTTTATTCTTTAAGAATTTGCCCTGCTCTGCTGCTATGTCTGTACTTTGACTGGTGTTATCTTCTCAACTCCACTGTTCCACTATGAAAACAAGCATCCAACACCAGCTCTATCTGGCTTTTTATTATTTCCAAGAAACAACTGGTTCTCATACAAACTAAATGCAAAACCAAAATGTGTGATCAGCTCAGGCTAGTTCTTCACAAGTCCTTCCAGGAGTAATTAGAGGGAGAGGGATAGGCCTTCTTCACAGCTTGCATAAAGAAATGTTGGAATTATGGCTGCCTTTCAGTGTGTATTTGGCAGCAGGGGTGTCTTTATCAAGCTGTTGGCACTCTGGAGATGCTGAAATGGCTTCAATAACAGGCAGCAGGATCTGATCTATGAGTTGGTCACAATGTCTCTGTTCAGAAGGCCCGTTTTAATGGTGAAGTTGGAGGGCTGGGAACTGGAACCACAGTGTGTTGTGCCTCCCGTGTTACATCAGTGTTCTGGCTGCAGTCGCGCACAGTAAGTACTGAAACAAATGGGAAGAGACAAAGCCTTCCGTGTGCCCCCAAAGTGCTGCGCTGGGAACACAACCTTGATTGGCAAGGAGGCCTGGGGCTTTAGAGCAAGAAACGCTGACTATGACCTGGGAAGTTTATTCAGGGTCACAGACTGCCACTGCTGACCACAGTTTCTTTTTAAAGACATCTGAGAAACTAGAGCGAGTGTATTTGCTCAGCGGAAGACAGTTTCCGAGAAATGCTCAGTCAAAAGCACAAACGTGAATTGCTAGCTCAGAAGCAACAATCCACTTTAAATTTGTGTTACATTCCACTGAAAAATGAACTATGCAAATGGACTGTTCATTCCAACAACCCATCAATCTTTCAATACAACCTAAAATTGCAGAAAACTGTAGCTAACTGGCTGCCTCACCTCCATTTTCAGACAGTTTCCCACGGTAGATCTTGTCCTCCACAACATCAGTCCAGTATAGGGTGCTCTGGTTGAGGTGAAAGTCCAAGGCAATGGTGTTCCTCAGGCCTGGTACCAGCACACTGAACTCCCCCTTGTGAAGTTCAATCCTTCTGATCTCATGACGGTTGGAGAAGATGATGAAAGGCTTGAAGGGATCTAAAGGCAAAGAAATTATTCCCAGAAAAATGTTAGCGTTTCACCACAGTACATCTCATATCCAAGTCCAAATTCACAAAATCCTCTTCCTCATCTTGGATCAAATCCAAATTTCCCCTCTCTGTCAATTGCAAAGAGAAAAACTGAGTAACTGTAGGACTTTGCTGCTTGCTGCTTCTGCCTGCTAGCCAAATTCATGGGAACGGGACATATGTGAGGTTGCTGTGACCTTGACCTTTCACCACCAATATCCAATCAGGTATTCCTTAAGTCTGAGTGGACACCTGTGCCAAAATTGAACAAATTTCCTCAAGGTGTTCCTGAAATACTGCGTTCATGAGAATGGGTTGAATGTACAACCTGAAAACATAATGCCTCCAGGCACACCTATCGCCAGTGTGGACGTTTCGGCCGTTAAATTTAGTTTTTTTTTTCCCCCCACACTGGCGCCAAGTGCTTGTTCAAGAGGGATTTGTTGGGTTGGGGCTCTCTCTATAACACTATAAGGTCTAGACCATCAGCTGTTTTCAATATGGGCGCCATGACAGCTCCCAGATTTACTGCCACTGTGATTCACTGGCTGGGCGCAGGACAGGTCACAACTCCCGCCCCCTCCACATTAGCAGAGCCAACAGCCGAACTAAAAACTCAAAATACAAATCAGATAAATTATTCCCAGGAGTTGGTTTCTGGTTGATACTAGTCACGCTGACATGTGCACAAGTGGTCATTTTTCTGGTAAGTTTGATTTTAATAAGTTATATGATGATATAAAAAGGGGTGCATTTCAGATGATTTCACAGCTTTGATTGGAGGACTGATAAATCACTCAGCTACTCAGTCACCACTGCACAGAATCTGGTTGCAAAATGCCAAGGCGTCACCACCATATTTGCAATATTTTGGCTACACTTTTGCATAGCGGAGGGAAGTGATGACGCATTGTCCATATTTACACAGTCAGTGGTCTAGACATTACTATGTAAAGTGCCTTGTGAAAGTTTTTTGTTGTGGTTTGGCCCTATACAAATAAACCTGAACTGAAGTGAAGGCATAAGAGTATCTTCAACACCACGATGCATTAAATACTGTTTACACATGCAATAGAATTACTATTGTAGAGCTTCCTCAGCACAGGAAAATTACTTTGCTCTCAATTTAATTCTTCAGTTTGTGGGAGGAAACAAACTTCTTTATGCTAACAAGTGGCTGTTTTTACTCACCAGTGCTTTTGCAGCTCTCCATGTCAGACTCCAGCTCCCAGCCCTTATAACAGGAACACTTGACGCTGGATTTCTCCTGCTCGCACTTCTGGCTACACTTGAGGTGTTTGGCGCAGAAACTCTGGATCTGGCAGGTCTTGTTGTCAGCTCCCAACTCCATGCCCAGGGGACAGGAGCACATGAAGCCTTCCCCAGGAATTATGCTACAGTTGTGACTACAACCGCCATTGTCCAATGAACACAAGTCTGCATGCAAAAAAAAAAAACAGAGATGAGAGGGTTGGAAAATATCTGAGACACAAAAACTGTATTTACGGCTCGTGGTGTTTTGAATATCAATATGGAGGGCAAAGAACAAATGAATTAGGTACTGAACACATATTCATGTTTATGTGTAAAAAGGTTTCTGTGTGCAAAGAATGTTTTACCGCAGAGTTTCTCATCAGAGCCATCTGGACAATCGTCAGTGCCATCGCAGAGCTTTTCAGCAGGCAGGCAGATGGAGTCGTTGGTAGCGCACATGTGGTGAGACAACTTGCACACCAACGCCTCGCAGTTGTCCTCATCTGAGTTGTCCTCGCAATCACTGTCACCATCACACACCCAGGCCTTGCTAATGCAGCGAGCTGACAAGACCAAGGCCCCATATTATCAGCTTCCAGCTTTGTTTCAATATATTCATAGAGATCAGTTTGTCTGCTGTTATTTGTCCTAATTTGTCAGAGGACAAAGTCCTGTTTGTGCTGACACAACAATACTACATATTGTTAGAAAGATTCATCCCCCTCCACCCCTGCAACTTAAGGCAGCTCAAAGCCTTACCAGAGTCTCTGCAGCTGAACTTGACTGCGGGGTCACACATGTGGGTGACACCCTCACAGTTGTTCTCATCACTTAGGTCCATACAATCTGTGTCACCGTCGCAGCGCCAGCGCATGGGAATGCACAGGCCGTCCATCCGACACTGGAACTCATCTACATGGCAACCACCAGGAGGACGGGTGGCTGCGGAGAAAGCGGCAGGACAAAGTGGGATACTTAGCCAACCAAAAAGATCAAGTGTGCAGTTTAGCCAATGTGAAAGAAGCAATAAAACACCAGTAGTAGTCAGCAACTGGAAAATAACTAGACTGGAATCACAACCAACAGACAGTGCCTGCACAGACCACACACACTTAGCCAAAAACTGAAAAGAGAAACAGGCAATTTGAGCCATTACTTAAATTGTAGTTATCTCTTCTCTTCTCAAGCAGCTTCCAGTCTAAACATGCTCAAACTTGCTAATAGCATTTCTCCTGACCCCCACACACCACCAACACCTCCCCTCTAAAAGGTGATTCCGAGTACCACAAGGCTTTATTGAATTTTATTTAATGTATTTATACTATATACATTTTAAATTATTAAACTATGTGTATTATTCTCATTGCTTTGTTTTAAGATTTGTTTTACTGCTCAAATTTAATCTGTCTGTAAAGCACTTTGAATAGCAGATACCTGTTTGAAATATGCTACACAAATCAAGTTTTAATTGACTGTTCTGATTGATGTCACAGGCAGATTTGAGTAAAGGCACCAATGAGGAGGTGCCACAGTGACATCTCCTGATGGTAAAGGTTAGCTTGGCACAGCTAAGGCAGGAAATGGGGCCAGGGATGTTTCGGCACAAATTACAACATATACAGAAGGAGAAGGTGATGGTATTGCTTTTTTTAATCAGTTAATGAATTCTAGATGACAAGCCAAGAAAACCCACACACACACGCACACAGTCAGACATAAACAGACAGAGAGAAAGTGAGCACAGATTGCTCATTAAACCAACAGGTCATGCTGGCCCCCATTTTTTCATGCTGAGACCTGACAGCAGCTGGCTGCATTTCTACACAGATCAAGCAACATGTAACATCAGAAAACACACAGTGTACAGGAGTGCATGTCTCCAGGCAGAAGAAAGAGCGCGACATTGTGCTATGATGTTGGCTCTCTCATCGTCACCAAGGGTGATTAACCAGCAAATCTCAGCATTTCAAATATAATCCTACATGGCCACCAGTTATTTTCAACTCTATAAACATGTAAATTCATCACTACAGCGTAGTCAAAAACATCTGTGCCTTTTGCACAAGCCCATGAAGGAGTTTAATTGTTATCTAACCACAAAATATAATCACATCCTGAACAGAGCAACAGAGAGAATTTACTGTAAATGATAAGTGGAAGCCAAAAGGCAGGCAGGGGCATGCAGAGCACAGGAAACGGTACAGGGAGAAGGAGGATCCCGTCTTCATCATGACAACCTCTTTACAACTTCAAACAGCAACATATAAACACAGTCTAATACAAAACATGATGTCATGAGAGCTTGACAACACAAACAGTCTTTATCTATAAGCACTGGGGGAGAAGAGGCAATGGCGTAATAAAACAATTTGGAGCAGCACTACTTTGGTTAACTATAAACAACATTGCTCCCTACCTTGGTTGGTACAGTTGGCATGTGTCTCGTCACTGTAGTCTCCACAGTCATTGTCGCCATCACAGGTCCAGTATTCTGGGATGCAGCGACCACTGTTACATTTAAACTGGACACTGGAGCAAGAATGGCTGCAGCCTGCTTCATCGCTGTTATCCCCACAGTCATTGTCTGTAGGTGAGCACACACACGATTTTACTGTCACATACCGGATTGTTCCGAAATGCAGCTTTATGGAAAGTGAAGGAAGTCTCAGGCCATGATGCGCACCATTGTCACAGCGCCAGTTGATGTTGATGCAGCGTCCATTGGCACAAGTGAACTGGGTCAGAGGGAAGCAGGTTGGGTATGCTGGGAGGAGAGGGGATGTAAAAATCAAAAGCATCTCAAACTACTATATGGTATTCAAACAAATATGAAGTTGCAGAAAAGACTCACCACAGTTGTTTGGTTCATCAGAACGGTCTCCACAGTCATCATCCAGGTCACATCTCCAGGAGATAGGGATGCAGCGCCCACTGGCACAAGGGTACTGGTTTGGTGGGCATGTGCGGGCTAGCAGGGAAAAGAGGTGTAAAACTGTTCAGCGCTGCAAAAAGTCCTCTTTCCTTTGCAATATTCCCAATTAAACTTGTTAAAGAAGACCCAACACTTGAAGACAACTTAATTTAATTTCCAATATTCTATTAAGATGTTTTGAAACATCCTGTAGACAAACTCTACAGATATAAATAAAGTGTTGGCAATAATAGAATTGTTTTTGATCCCTGTGTACAGTAGATGATATAAAACCTGTGCAGCGAAGATCAACAAAAAACTGAAATGCTCTCTAAACCACAAAAAATTCAAAACCTGTGCATACCAGAGCAGGTGGTGTTAGATTCATCTTCATCATTGCCACAGTCATTGTCGCCATCACACAGCCATCGCAGGGGAATACAGCGATTGTTCTGGCATTTGAATCGGTCAGCTGGGCAGGTATGCTGGTCTGGAGGAAGGAAACAAGCAAGTATACATCAACAACAGCAAATTCTCCAAAAACTGTAGTCATCCGTTAAACTACCCTTTAACCCTTACGTCACTTTAAATGACGCATTAAAAAGAATAGAACATCCAAGGCAAAGCCGAGTTTCTGGTTCTCACTGTTCTCTCATGAGGGAAAGCAGGCTGGTGAAATTACAGTCACATGTATGGAAAAAGACAATCATGGAAACTGCAGCTTGTGTTCTGTCAGTTCTCATTATTTAAGAGGCTTAAACAGAATTTTTGTTTATTCATGTGTTGCAGTGTAACCGTGACAACGACACAGGGCACTTACTACAGAGCTCAGGGGCCTCATCACTGTTGTCCAGACAATCGTTGTCCCCATCACACTTCCAGCGCTCCTGGATGCAGCGGTTGTTCTTACAGGCAAACTCCCCAGGCTGGCACTGGGGTGGGGGCACATATGAGGGGTTGGCTGGACATGAAACAGATGTGTCATTAATACAAGTGCTAAGCACCAAGACGCAATAAATCTCTTTGGTGCTTAGATCAGTTTTCACTCCCCTTAGTTACAAAATATTAGTGGAGGTTCTATCTCCCCAGATATAAAGGCTTGAAAATGATTTGATTTGATTTATTCTTTCAAACATGTAACGACAGTCAATATGTCAACACACATAATTTCACACATATCCACAAATGCAATATCAATTTGCTTATACCTAGTACATGCTTGAACGGAGTAGGAAGAAGTCAGACTTATCCAGTCCTACCCCATGACATCATCTTACCATCATTGGTTTGCAAGCAGTATCTCTACATAGATAATTACCACACCCACAATGTTCCATCTAATTAATCATTAAACCTGTTCTTGCATCTTGATTGACACATACCTTTATATTTATGTTTAAACTTGTCAATTCTATTACTATTTTTTATGTCCACACTTAAATTATTCCATAGTTTTACCCCACTTATGGAAATACAGAATCTTTTTTTGGTTGTACGTATAGCATGAATTTTATAATTTAACTGACCCCTTAAATTGTATCCCCCTTCCCTTTCATTAAATAGTTTTTGAATTCCACCAGGTAATAAATTGTTCCTGGCTTTATACATAAACACAGCAGTCTTATATCCCACTAAATCAAAAAATTTTAACAATTTAGACTGTATGAAAGCTACATTGGTGTGATCCCTATATCCCATCTTATGCACAATTCTTATCGCTCTTTTTTGTAATATATACAATGGTTGAAGTGAGCTTTTGTATGTATTTCCCCAGTTTTCAACGCCATACTCCAAGTATGGTAGAATCAATGAGGAATACAAAATGCGTAGTGCTTTGTATTCTTCACTGAAAATGGAAAACACAGTACTAGAATGCTTTAATGGCCTGAACTCCTGCTGAGTAATAAATATTCTACAACCTTCCTCATTGATCTTTGGTGACACCTCTCTACTGGTAAAGCAGCTAAGTACCTTTGCAGGTGACATTATCGACATCCAGGATTTGATCATCAGCACAGCCACAGGACCTGCCGTTAGGGATAGCAAGGCACAGGCTGCTACAGCCGCCATTGCTAGCTCGACAAGCGTTGATACCTACACAAAAACACAACCAAGAAGAAGGACTGAACAGTTATCACAATATACTCATCAGTCATTTTAATTGTTAAAATCATATTTTTCATTAGGTTGTGAATCAGGACAGAGGAGATGTACCTTGCTGCTGGTGTGCATCATACACTCTGATCTCAAAGATAGGGGGCCTCTCGTTGCGGAGTAGGGTGACTGTCTTGGTGACCTGGTCAAGTTTATAGATGCTGCCACCACGGTACTCATTCCAAAAGAGGAATTGTTTGTAATGACATAAGCCAAAGGCATGGTTAAGCTCCTGTCCCTCATACACCACCTGTTCAATGAGGAAACACAGAGGAGAAATCTCAAAATATTACCTTCAATTAACTGATTACAGTATCTTGACGCTATGAGTGAAAAGCTGGAAATGAGCATTAATTTTTAAATAATCTGGATCAGTGTCTCATCAGCTGTAAATACACAGTACACTACCACTGAAACATACTCCAGGAGCATCACCAACCTTTCGCTCAGTGGTGTTAAGGTAAACCAACTCAATACGGTCATAGTACGCATCCACCCAGTACAGGATGCCCCGGGGTATGTCCAGACTCAGGCCATTAGGCCACAGCACCGTCTTGCTAGTCAGAAACACTTGGTGATGTGAACCATCCATCCATGCTTTTTTGATCTTCCCTCTGTTGCTCTCTGTGGGGTCCTCCTCCCAGTCAGTCCAGTACATCCATCTGGGAGATGAGAAGGGAGATCGCCACATTCAAAAGGCATGTGAGATAGGACATTTTTGTGGGAGGTGGAGATGTTAAAATGAGGCTCTGAGTTGTCATGCTCTTTTATAGAACATTAAAACAAAAGAAGGCCTATCCAAAAGTCCCTTAAAAACAAACCAGCTCCAACACTCCCAAATGTGACCAGTGAGTTCAACAAAAATGTACATTACAGACAGCCTCAGACCATCCTCTCCCTCTACTGAGTGCTGCTGCACCCAAACACTAACATTAACACAGCATTTCTGAGAAAAGAATACCCTTTAAAATAACAATACCCTTCCCTCCAGGGTCTCACCCATGCTGGGGGTCCACCACAATGGCACGAGGGTGGCTCATCTTTCCTTCAATGAGAGTCTTGCGCGTTTGGGAAGCCTTCTCCAGCCTGGCAACACTGATAGTCTTCTTAGGCCCATCATCTGTCCAGTAGAGATTGCCTCCCATCCAGTCTACCGCTAACCCCTCTACTGTGTGGATACCTGAGATAAGTCAAAGAGGGCAGATGAAGAGAGAACTATTAGCCTGCCAATTCACTATGAATATCGAGAGAATAAAGCAAAAATGATATGGATTAACGTGACGGAATTTTCTTCCTCACTAAATTATTTGTAGCAGCGAGGATTTGGTTAAAAAGTTCAAATAGTTTCCAGATTCCTGTGCAGAGTTATCATTTTCATCCTTACCTTCCTTTAGTATGGTGTCTCTCTCTGTGCCATCTATCTTCTGTCGGCCAATGATATAGCTGGTTGCATCAGCAAAATATATGAATTCACTGGCAGCATGGAAATCCAGAGCCCGGGGGTTCATTAGGTTCTCAATGGGAATCATGTACTCATCTGGCACCTTAGCATTCATGTCCATGCCCCTGATAATTCCAGGACGACCCTTACCGTACACCAAGAACAACTCATGGTCTGGTTCTGTGGAGGAAGAAGGAAGAAAACGTCTGTCGGTGCTTCTGTAACAACCAGAACCGCCACAATCATCAGGGTTCAGGTCGATACTCACTCTTGCAGGATTTGCCGTCACTGCCGAGGCTGAATCCAGAGCGGCAGCGGCAGGTACGAGCCTTGTGGCTGTTGCTCAGCAGACAGATGTCAGAGCAACCTCCAGCCTTCCCAAACTGATCCAGGGCGCATGCATGGCTCCGTACTAATAGAGGAAGAGGAGGGCACAAAAACGGTAAATGTTTTTCGATGGGTATGGATCAGATGAGTCAACAGCCAGGTTAAAGAACTAAGCTATGCCTTTTTATGTGTGCACCTTGAGGTTGGCGCCTCTGGTGGTATACATGCAATGCGGCTCCCCGGTCTACCCGCGTCACCACCTGGAAGTCAGAGCTGTTGAAGCGGTTCACTCGAATCACACTTGTTTTGGGGTTGAGATTGCCTTCATCTGAATTTGTAGCATACAGGTAGTTCTCAAATACAGTCAGTCCATATAGGTGCTCAATCTGAAATACAGTGAGAAGATAAATCAGCTATATTTGGTCTTGAGTTTTCTATTGAAATGCTGGTGTTCTTAGCAAAACAGTCCATGGTGCATGACTAATAGCTTGTGTGATATCGTTTGTGTACACATATTTATCTTGAACATTGCCTGGCCCAGTCAGCATAACAAAACTTTCCTAACAAATCAGAGTAAAACAGATTTTGATAGATTTTAAAAATGTGAGGACATAACAGAAAGACAGAGACAGACAAACAGACACAGAGATAAAGAGAGAGTGTTTGTGCAAACTTGGCACAGGACAGCATAATGGCCTCGCTTCCCATCTGCTGTTTCAGAGAGGTTTTATTTTTATAAGGGTCTGTTCTGTGCAGCTCTCCTCTACTGTCAGAAAGATGTATGGGTTGGGATTATATGACCTCCCCCCAACCTCACACACCACCACTTCCACTCCCACAGTACTGATTTCAATAAGATCATTACTCCACAACAGGTTTGAGCCATGATTTGCTGGGGCCAGACTAATATGTTTAGAGTGGCACTAGCCAGGAAAGTCACACTCTTCAAGGTGATAAAAAGCGCTTATCTTTGCCTAGACACACAGGAGACAACTGGAAAACAGTGCTGCCTGTAAAGATGATTAAATTACATCAATGATGATACAATTTGATGAGTAGATGTTTTGTGTTTTTGAAGGGAAGATTGAAAAAAATCAATATGGACTCTGGGGTCTTGCCATCTAGTGAAATGAAACCTTTTAAAAGTCTGAACATTCAAAAGTATATGTTCTTTGGTGCATCTCTGTGTAGGCTTGGGTGAGGCTGGTGTTAGTTTTGTGTTCATGTGTGCACACCCATCCTCACCAGCAGGCCCTGGATGATGGTGTGTCGGTTTTTGCCCTCATAGTCGACCACTTCAATATAGTCCAGGTAGGCGTCTGCCCAGTACACCAGTCGGGTAACCAGGTCCAGTGTGATGCCATGAGGGAAGACGATCTTACTGTCCACCAGCTTAGTGCGGTTCTGACCATCCATGTCACAGCGCTCCACCCTTGGTGTAGACCCATAGTCTGTGAAGAACACCTTGCTATAGCAGGGTAAAAAAAAGGATGCGAAGGTTAAGATGAAGGTGAGGTGACAGAAAAAAGAATTTCATAAACAAGAGGAAATATAGAGACTTCATGTGTCAGTTTTATTTTACAGTCAACCTTAATTGATCAATCTGTATTATTCATTTAAATGAATTAAAGATGATTTCCAGGACAATTAAAAAAATAATAGAGAACTGATACTTTGGAAAAAGGAACCAGAGTAGGTGCTAACTTGTCAGTATCAGGCACCTGAAACTGCAAACATTCAAATTTTTATGTGACACACAATTTCACTGCCTGCTTTGTCAGCACATCCCCTGATCATGAGACACGATTCTCCTCCCAAGGATTACTTAAACAGTTTTTTTGGGTAGTGACAGATCCAGAAGACTAAAGGGAAGCACACACCCCATAGCCGGGTCCAACGCGATGCCTTTAGGGTTGTACAGCTCCTGGTCCAGCAGCGTAACACATGTCTGGCCATTCTTGTTGCAGACAAACACCCGATCATCCATGTCATCCACAAAGTAGAAGTTTCCAGTCAGCCAGTCAATAGCCATATGCTCCACATCTGATGGGTGCAGAAACAGGTAAGGAGAAAACAGAACAGGATCTTTAAAAAACAATAGGAGCAGAGCCACATAACTCTTGGCCATATACCAGGACAGATACGCGTCTCTGGTTAAGACACGTAGGGCATGGAGGAGGGAATAAAACAAAGAGTGACCGATAAAGAGTGCACTTTCTAAACTGAACCATCAGTGGACTTGAGCAGTCACAGGAATCCCACACTCTGTTATAAGTATACGTGACCCACTTACTGTAAATACTACAGAAAGCTAAACAAAAGGACTGTGAGCCCATTGTTACTACAGAAGGCCTATATAAATTAAGCAACATGACAAAGCCCAGATCGATTGTGAAAAATTGTTGAAAGACCTACTAACAGAACATTTCCAGGAATTTTCCCATGAGAGTAAGGCTGCTTCCCAAGTCTCTTATATGGGTCCATGTTCCCCTCATTTTCATCTTTTCCTTGTACCTTAGTGCCGCCCACATATGATATGAGGAAAAGATGCAAGAAAAAATGTAAGAAGAGAGAAATTAAGGAAGGACATTTTTAAAGACGTGAGATTTCCTTCTATCCTTCATCTGAAGCATCCAAACACCAATTTCCCAAAGGGCATGTTAGTCCATAAAAATGTCTGCAAAGGACACTCTTGTGTATCCTCACTCATACTGCAGGCCCTCCAGCAGCCTCCTCGCTCCTCAGAGCAGACATAAGAGTCTTGGGACGTCCTCGATCCTCGCTCGCCATGGAAGTCATTCCAGTCGAGGATTGAGGAACAATCATGTAAGTAACATGAAAAGCTGCCCTTGAAGCTTTTGAGGAACTCATAAACCTTACCTGTGTATTGAAACTAGAGCCTAAACTAAACTAGGGACTAAAATGTGGCTGTTTGGTCAAACACAGACCAGGTGGCTTAAATTCTTTTGCAAAAATAAGAAATTACTGGGTGCCACTAGTATTAATATTAGTACAAGGGGTGAACATTTCTTGTAATGTTTATTAACTTAAAGAGAAACAGTTGTACTGAGTTGTAATGTAAAGACAAATGATTCACATCATTTTCATGCTCAAGGCCTTCTGTGACTTCTTGTGTCCTGTAGGAAAGCATCTGTATTTGCTGTCTCTAGAAGTGTTAATTCAGGTTTTTCCATGGAATTTTTCATCCATCTATCTACAGCCAACATCTCAGACACAAAGTGTAAAAAACCAGGCAAAAGGGCAAAACAGCAGCACTGAAACATGACAATAAGCTCCAGCACTTTAGGGACCAACCGGAATATCACTCAAATTGACCGAGAATGTTGTTGCAACACCTCTCACAAGATAATTTGACATTTTATAACCCCACTGAATTACTAAGCCAAGCTAGAAAGTGTAAGTCTTGCAAAAAGAGACTTATTTCAGACATTAGAGGTTGAAGTCCTTTGTTAGCACTAGAGACATTTCCCACTTTGAGGACTGTGGAGGTTGGGGGTCTTGAAGATATAACCTACTTTTTTACCGCTGCCATGACACCTCCTCAGAGCAGAATACTGTATACACATATGCACATCACACATGCTCACTACTCACACATGCACTATCAAGGTGACCACAGCTGTCTCTCCAGTTAATTCAAGGGACAACTTTGATGCTGGGCTACGTGAGAGGGATACAACACCATGGACAGTGAGCCTGCAGCCAGCCAGGCTGAGGCTTTGACTATTCATAAAAAATCTGCACAGGAACCCCCAACAATGTCAACCATGGAAGAACCAAAGCCCCACAGCAGAGCATACACATACATCTAGGCCCTGTGTAGAAAGCACTTACCCACCCTACTAAACATACACAGAGCTTTAAAAGACCTGCCTTACATGGGCCCAACACTGTGCTTGGAGCAACAATATAAGCAGAGTTGGGGAGAAAATGGAAACCATGGGGGGTGGAAATGTACATATATATCAGAAGAAAAACATTGTTACATCAGCAAATAGCTAGTGGTCATCTTACATCTAAAAGGGAGGTAACTGTAAATATGTGAACCAGTTAAACTGAAAAAAACAAAAGGAGGGAGCAAAAAAAAAAAAACATTCCAAAATGTTGCATGAACCTCAGAACCAAGATTCTGACAAAGGAGAAAGTGTGTCATGGAGTTATAAGGGATAGTGATACTCCCATTGGAATCACCTCTAAAATCCTTCTCCTCTGGAGAAATCCAGCTGGAAGCCTGGCTGCACAAGGGATTGATTAGACTCACTTAAAGAGTAGAGAGCCTGTTGTGCAACGCAGTGACTATTGGGTTGTGTAACAATCTACAACTGGCGGACCACCTTATCCGAGAAGCCAGCCAGTCTGTTGACGTTCTCACTCATTCAGCTTGAGGTTAAGTGGTGAGTTTGCTGGGAAACTCAGTGAACCCACCCTTTCTCTCCATCCAACAACCCTGCCCTCATAACCCCTGCTCACTTCCTGCCCTTAACACCTGCCAGCTTACACTCCTCTGAGGAAATGTTTCACAAACTGAGGAGGTCTTACTGGCAATAACAAACACACTTCCCACCCTAGTAGATTAAGTATTTACATACAGGGCCACAGCCTGTTGAGATCTTCAGTCACACACTGGCATCTACACTGCAGAGTAGCATAATAGCATAGTAGTTATAAATGTTATTTGTTATAAATGTTATTCCAATATTTTCCTGTTAGTATGAAGCAGAAAATAATTGTCACCATAAGTCTTGCATTATCCTCCCTTTGCCAAGAAAATCGTGTTAATCTGTACAAAAAAACCTCACTGACCTCTTAGGAGCACATTTTTTGAGTTCAGTGATTATATTTTCCCTAAGGATTTGGCATATGACCTCTACTTAAGAGGCAGTCATTCCAGTTATGCCACTGCAAATCCCCTACTGCAACAAGTGAAAAGGAGAGGTTACTGGCTAGAGAGGAAGCTCTGATGACTGGGGGACATGATTCCAGCCATAGTGCAACATTTGGGGAAAAAAGGACAAAAGTTGCATCCTTAAGAACAGAGTAACCTTGTTCTGTGTGGATGCAATTAACAACTGAGAGAATTATGTACTAAATGAGAAGCCTCTGTTTTAATTTGATTTACTAATTAACATATAGTTTTTATAGTTTTGCAATGAGACTAAATGCTTTAGATACTTTTCCCCCCATGAAGCTACGTATGCATTTATAATCAGAACTTTACACACATTAACAAAAACATTCTGTCTTTTTGTAGTATTAAAAAAATAGATGTCTTCAAAATAAAGGCCAGGAAGAGAGAAAGGAGAACTGACCAGTGCATAGAGGGGCATGAGGAGAAGTGATGGTCCCCGCTGTGGAGCTCTGCTCTGGCTGCTCCTTTTTTCATATCAGCCAGAGAATCGCATGCAGATAGAGCCGGCCACATCTGTAACCCTCATCTTCATGTCTATCCTGGTCTCTCATGCTCCCAGAAGCTATAAATCACCCACTGTGTGTGACCACCCCCCCAGCAAAAGAAAGGTAGATGGGTAAACCAGGGAGGATGCATAATTCAATAGGTCAAGCTTACCAACTAATATTTTAAAGCAAATGACCACAAGGGAATTCTTACTGTATAGACAACAAATGGCTTTGACTCAGCTGAATATGACCAAATTCAGGGGGGGGGCTTCTGCTCTCTTATTGCAGCTGAAAGCCCATACTGATGTAACGTCAGTAAGGAGTCAAAGCCAAAGTACAAAAAGAGCCTCTTGGCTGTTTGTTTGCACTGAGGTGACTTAGGAGAGTCAAAACCCACCAACAGACCTGACTGGACTCAGACAATCAGTCTGCCACCATGTTATATAAAAAAAAGATAAGGGCCACCTCCTTCACACCCAAAATATTTTTTCTGAAATTAAATTATTGCAACATCAAAGGAAGATAAATAAAGAGAAATGGATAATAACCAACAGCAACAAGTGAGGCTAATGAAGATAATAAGTTAATTTAGATGCTGCCTCTTATTTACAGGTTAAATCCAGCACACAAGTTAACAATAGAACCAGTTCATATTCTAAGGTGTAAACAAACAGTAGCGCAGAAATCTCAAATCCTAATTCATAAAAGGTAATGTTTCACTAAGTAATGAATGCATAAGGCAAAGGTATTTGGGTCAGTGTGTCTGTGTGTGGGGCCTGGTATTACTCACGTTGTGGGGACGTAAATCTGTTTACATTTTCACACTGCGGGGACTCAGTGTCCTTAAGAGGACAAAAAGCAGGTCCCCAAAACATAAATCGTTACATTTAGAGTGATAACTTACACTTAGGGTCAGGTTAGAATTAGGAAAGTAGTGGTTATTTTTACGGTGAGGACAAGTCTCCAGAAAATGAATGCAAGTCAATGTAATATCCAGTGAAAAGATGGAAACACAAAGACATGTGTATGTGAGAGAGGTTGTATGTTTAAGTGACCTGACTGGACAGGACCTGAGAAGACCAGAGGAACATAGAGGCTGTTCAGACTGACATAAGTTAACAGAGGAATGTAAATACCATCTGTATGCCCACTTGCACGCACACACACACACACCTCCAAGGTACAGCAAATCACTACCTTCTTTCTCTCCCTGTCATTTTATCAGTCCCCTGCCTCCTTTACTTCAATCTTCCCATCAGGATCCCCACTCACTTCCACCCCCGGCCCTCACGTACCCCTCAGACTACTAAGCACAGCGATGAATCAAAAAGCCACAGAATTAGGCCAAAACAGCGAGGGCGAGGTGAGATATGGGCCACTGATGAGACTGCAGAGAATCAACTGGGAAAGCCCCATTTGAGGATGCTGTGGTTCACTTAGCCTCCATGGCTCAGCTCTGTCCCGACAGTTACAGCTGACACCGGTTACACAAGCTTCATCTGAAGCGGGGATGAACCGAGGCACCTCTAATCATGTCATAGGTTTTTGTGTCCCACATGTCAGGGTCTACACAACCGCTTTCTTCACATCTGCCGTTCCATTCCTGGGGCTAATTCTCAAGGGAACACTTCCCACACGCACACATTTTATGTTTTGTCCACATTTCTGCATTCATTTTTAGTTAGCAACGGTTTTGTCAGCAAGACAAATAAACACAAACCTTGTCAGGCTCATAAATATAGATAAATCAATTCAGCATTATATGAATAAACCTGTCAAAGGGAAGCATTCACAAGTTCATTTGTGTGTCTGGGTGTTGCCCAAGACATAAGAGTATGTCAGTTAAGACAATGCCTCTGGCATATACTTCCACAGGCAAGACATTTCACTTGTTTATCAGCTGTGGTCCACACTCCATCCTCCTACACACACCACATGCAAGCATTGTTTATCTACAAAGCCTTCCAGGACAAAATGTACTGTACTTGGAAGGACTTATGAAGACAGAGAGAACTCTACCTGGAAATTCTAAGTTCAAGTGCCGTCATATCAGAAATCAATAATGGGAAATCAATTACATTCAAACACACAGTGGAATTACACCCACAGAAGTCTGAGTAGCCATACACAGTCAGAACATAAATCGAGCTACTGTGAAATGTGCAACATAATGCTTCAAGGCACGCTGGCAGCTGGACATGTATCATGTCTCTGTAAGTCAGCTACACACCTACTGCCTCTACTAGATGATTTAGTGGTGTGTCAAAGACAAACCCCTGAAAAAGTCAAGCTGGACTCAGCGTTACTACTTGGCACTTCTCTGCTGGTATGAGTGGCTTTCAGACATGAAGCTTCACACGTTACATTTGTCTGAGCTAGTAAGCACAGAATTGGCCGTTTGATTACAGAAGCAACGTACAACCAAGTGTTGCTCGTGTGATCTTATTCAAGGCATTCATTCCTCTTTCATTGACAGTGTACAAGTAACCCTTCACACTCTACATTTTCATTGGAATACTGTGTCGGCAGAAATATACCGTTTCTAGAAACAAAATCTTGTTCATTTTTTGTTAGTCAGTTGACATCTCTGTAGTTCTTGTCACCCAAACAACTACTCACGATGCAGGCTGAGGGAGATGTTGATGGTGCGGATGTTAGTGACGGTCTTGAGGTCAGGGATGTTGGCACACTTCAGCTGAGTGGCAGCAGGGGTGTCACCCACATCGATCCAGCAGACGGTCTCGTTGGCATAGATGAAGTCCATAGCCATGGTCTGCTTGGTGGCAATGGAGGGCAGCCGGGACGTGGAGCCGCTCAGGGAGGTGCAGCGGATGTCATGGAGGTTAGCAATCAACAGCATAGGCAGACGATCCACTGGGTCTGGGGAAGAATACAGCAGGGAACCATTTCTAACAAGGAAAGAAATAAACTCTGAACTGTTCTTAGTTTAATATGAACTGTCTCTGTTGCATTTTGTGTGTTTGTTTTCTCACCATTTTTGGCTTTACAGGAGCGGTTGTCTGGCTGCAGCAGGTAGCCCTCCACACAGCTGCAGGTGTAGGAGCCCTCAGTGTTTGTGCACGTCTGACTGCATGCACCGTACACACTGCACTCGTTGAAATCTACAGGAGATGAAGACAAAGCATCAACAGATACAGTCAGTGAATAAATATTTAAAGACTGAACAGTATTTATTCATAACTTACTGCACTGGGTAAAACTTAGATTCAACTATTTTCAACATTAAGTGACAAAAAACAAAGTTTACCAAACTATAAAACACACATGTAACTTCACCTTGAAGCAAGTGGACCAATAAAAAAAAAATTTTAAAAAACTAATCTTCCCTACCTGCTGCCCCATACAAATTACAATCGGCAAGCAGAACGTCAGAGTAATCCAATAATTACTCTTAGTTAGGATAAATCTGCCAAATCACCCACTCACCTTTACACACCCTGCCATCTGCAGCAACCTCATAGCCGTTGTTACAGTAGCACTGAGGCCCATCGTGAGTCACAGTACAGTGAAACTGGCACATATGTGAGGCACAGTCTGGTGCTCGCTCTGAAACAAAGAGACCGACAGAACAGTGAAGATGATCAAAGTGAACATACAATAGGTGTGACAGGGAAATGTGTCTCTAGCTCTTCAGAAGCCTCGATTTGAAACCTGTTTAAGTAATCGCTTCCTTGATCAGGTTTGTGTGCAGCTTTCTTAATTCTTCAGAGCCGTACTGTCAAGTCTCTGTTGAGAGATGAGATAGGTTTGTAGGAGTATGTGCGTGCAGGAAATGAAAGAGGTGCATCCACACATCCCTCATCGTGATCGCTATAGAGTGTGTGTGTGTGTGCATGTATATTCACAAGTCACTTTGTTTAATGGGTGTGTTCATTAAAGATCATGACTGTTTGTGTTTTATCAGCTTAGAAATATTGTGTTTGTTGATATGTGTGACTTTGGTGAAGATCAGATCACATTTCATGACCAATTTATGCCGAAAACCAGGAAATTGCAAACAGTGCCGTTAGTTTTTGTTGCGACTCTAGATGTTTATACCCAAGCTAGGAGATTGAATTGACGTATTAGACAGTGGCTCACATTACAAAACAAATGATATTTCAGACAGCTTTTATTGGCTTTAAATCTCCCTCCCATAACACTCCTGAACTTGGGCTCATAAACTATTTCACTACTTAGTTCATGTGTGCATCCCAGATGAACATGCTTGTGACCCACAAATGGTGGGTTCTGCCCAAGAGGTCAATAAAATGCATACAGGATGAAGCCACAGAGAGGAAATTACAGTACAGTATGTGAGGGCAGAAGGACAGATATTATCCTGATTATGATCAGCAGCCATTTATTCAGCAATATTCTCTGTCTCTTTACAGCTCTGTTAATAAATATGTCACACACAACTTTCTCTCTACATTTCTTCAAGATTTTATCTCCAAATAATCTTTATGCAGACATGACATATGACTAGATGTATTCTCATGCTGCAGTACTATGGCGTTATAGCACCTGGCTATCCTTTGAAGCTCCAGGACAGCAGCCACAGCAACATTCAGCATCAAGTAAGGTCAAAGCAGTCACATAACATAGCAACACTCACAATCCACACGCTGATTGAACCTGTTTAGAAACACTCCAGTTTAATCATTTGCCAAGTGAACGCTGATATGACAAAACCATAAATAACTAAACAGAGAAAAGAGGTTTCTAGTAGCAAAAAGATATGTACATCAGCATCCAACAAATAGGGTCAATGGTCACACACTAGGCATAGAGTAACTGGTGATGGTAAGACTGTGGAGAGCAGAGACTGGACCAGTGAAGGGCCCTTGTTACGTAACACCTGTGGCACTCAGGGCCAAAATGACTCTTTTGTTGTGGTCCCAGCGAAAGAGAGTCCCAGCAAACAGTCTGGCCCATATTGAATCCATTCACCAAGCCTCACACTGGACGATCACAGGCAACTGGAGAGCTAAAATAGCCACAAAATGCAACCCCCTAACCCTGTCCAGGGTCAGTTTGTACTTCTGTAGCTACACATGGATGATACGGACAAAATGAATATTGCTACAGTTATTCAGATTTTACATTTGGATTTAAGTATGATAGGATAAGACTTTTGTTATGATAAAACTATGTGGAGAGATAAATGTAATTACAATGTGAAATGTGCAAATGTGAATAGGGGGTGTTTTGATTCATTTTTTTGGTATATTTTTAAAAGAATAACGCAAATCAAAAAGATTTTGGAACATAAATTTGTAAAACCCTTTAGTTGCTCTATCTGCAGAGAACTTTTGCAATTGTGCAATCACAGGAGGAGAAAACAAAGGGGGAAAAGTGAAGGTAAAAAATGCAAAGAGAAAGGCAGACAACAACACAAGAGGTACAAGTGAGTGCATACAGAGCTCAAAACTGTGGTTAGAAAGTCCCAGATGCAAGCAAAAAAGAAACAGCAGTGTGTCAGATGTTTATCCAGCAGTTAATGAACAAAGCAAACAAATCAAACAAAGTGACACACTGGAGGGCCTCAGTTCTGAAGAAGCATGCCAAAACCATTGATCCTGTTACTGCATGAATGGCAAGCCTCAGTTTCACTCATCTAGAGCTCTTTAAAGGGAAGCATGGAGTGCACGCAGGAAGCTATTTGTCAAAAGGCCCACTACACTAAGTTTCACACATCTCACATTTCTAAACACTAAATATCCCCTTGTTGCAACACTTGTGTACACAGCTGAACAAATGTGAATGACTCAGACTGAAATAACCAGGCATGAACAGAGCATCAAGCATGAATAAAAACATGACAGGATGAATTCCCAGTCCATATTGCTGAGGTTGCAAACATCTCACTGCAGGGTTGCAACAAGAACCTGTTGACATGAGTATGTTAATAATTTGTCTGGAGCTAGTCCTGCCTTATGGCAGGCTCTTACTATAGCTTCACTGGAGGCAAGACTGTCAAATGGCTAAATGCATTAACAACATACATATTTAAAAAGCAAAAAAGAAATGGGATAAAAACAGAAAAAGATGTGATTAACATGACCAGGAACACATGGAGAGAGACAATGAGAAAGAGGTCATTAGGAGAGGCAACCGACATAGAAAGCAGAGAAGGACACAAGCTGCTTTTTGGGCAGGGTGCAACGGGACAGAGATCTGTGTTGGTGCTGGGGTTATAGCCATAGTTCCACGACAAACCTGCCATGCTGTAATTGAATGATTTCATAAATCCTAAGTATTCCTCTTCTTGCTATCTAAGGTTAAATGGATTAAATAAAACCTAAAAATCAAACACTGTAAAAACAAAAACAGTCTAGTGCACTGTGTGACATTTTAAAGAAAGGTAGGGCATTCCTACCTTTGTGCTGTCGCTGTCTGGAAACAAGTCTCCACACGTCCTCATCCTCTGCCTGTAGCTGACAGCAGCCTACTGTTTTCTTACACAGCTCCACCAAACTATCTCAACACTCCAGGTATGTATTCAAAACATATCTTAACTGACACCAGTGACACAGATTTTCTACGAATGATTTGATTCAACAGAACAACAATACTTAAAAATAATTTTTATTGTATATGGTCTATACTCCATATTTTGTATGAACCTTTCACATAATGTGTATTCTAGCATTACTCATAACAATGTGAAGAACTGGGACAAACTTATTACTGACCAACATTTTGAGAAAACCAATCTCATTCAACTTCAACAGACCACCACACTGAACCAACTCAGGTTCCATCTAAGACAATTCAGCTGCTCCGTTCTCTGAATCTACTTTGCAACTAGACAGCACCGAAAGAGAGCAAACCTGAATTAGCAGAGTTTCAGCTACAATTTGATCTTAGTTGTAAGCCTGTAGCATAATTTGTTGTCTCAGAGTAGCAAGTTTACCACAAGCCCTATAACTGTGAACATTGTGGATCAGCTGTTCTAGAACATTTCTTGGATCCAGATCAGACTTGGATGTTAGATCTTATGTGGATGTTATCTTGCTGTTTTTGTCCAAGCATTGTAGGCACTGACTATGGAGTTAGAAGCAAAAATACTGAAACTGTCTGCATCTCACAATAGGGAAGAATCCTAAAAAAAAAACAAAAAAAAAAAACTCCTAGATCTGGATGATGATTTGGACCAGCACCTAAATCAAATAGATCGATCCGTGGGCCATACCCTGCCTCTCCAAAACATTTCATCCTAATCCATTTATTATTATTTGCGTTATGCTGTGAACAAACAACCAGGAAACAAACAAACGCTGACAGAAATTGGGTTTCATGGTGCATTTGCCACATATAATGATAATAATAACAATTTAAGCTGGTGAAACGTGAGCACTCACGGGTATGAGAGTGTGGACAAGAAAGAATAAGGCAGGAAGGTTTAGCAATTGTGAGCATGAAAGCGTATTTATTGGCAGGTACTTGTGGGCTACATAGTCCATGGGGGCAAAGTAACCATTTGCAAACAAACAGGGCTGCAGCTTGAGTAATGAGCAAACAGCAGCTATCATATTCTCAAACAGTGGCAGCACGTTGCCCCAGATGCCTACAGCTAAACTTAGACAAATACTCAAACACAGAAAAACAAACAGACATAGAAAGTACACACACTGTGGCACAAGACTTTTCCAAAAACACGCAACATTGTACTTGCCTAAGAAAATTAATGCTTGAATTTTCTTCAATCTGCAGTTACATGGCAGTATGCTGCACTGCAGTACCTCTACATACAAGGATGGGTAAACACTCAATGAAACAGACCTTATTATGCAAGGCTAGTCCAAATGCAGCCAATAAATTGAATTAGGTCAAGACCCACTCATGAATAAAGATGAAAATGTGGTCTTTCCACAGTCAGCCGAATCTCATTCCACAGCTTGAATGACAATAAACGTCCACTGGATGCATAAACAACAGCATCAGGCCATTACAACAATCAGAGTTCACTTTGAGACGGTGGCGAAAAGAGAAAAGCTCTCAAGATTACTGCTGTACCTCAGTTTTCTCTTCCCCGTCAGTCACTTGAGAGGGAAATGGGTCTAAGGCCTTTCCCCACAAGAGATGTGTCATCAGCTGCAAAAATGTCAGGACTGCGGATCAGACTCAACTTTCACCCATATGACAGATAACCTAACTACCAATTGTCTAAAAAGGCTACAATTAGTTAAACAGGTATTTTAAATATACACCCTAAGCTATGTTTTGTGTTTTTACCAAAGGATTCAAAGATCCTGGAGTCAAACAAGCAAACTTCAGACTCAAGTGGTTTGGACACCCACTAATCCACAAGGAAAACGTTCTCAACATTCACCTTTCAAATGAGCTCATGAGCCAGGGACTAAGGCCCAGTCCCTCTTATATGTATGTGAATAAAATTATTTATTCACTCCAAATTCACTGAAGGTTGTTAAGCACCGGAAAATTTAATATTACATCTCGTGCTTTTATAACATAACATTCACGGCATTACAGAGAACAGCCAAAATTTATCTACTGTGTTTTATTCAGAGGTTTGATTGACAAAGGCCTTTAACAAGCATTTTAATTACCACTGACAGCATAGGAATATGTACATGTTCTGACTGGTGTTTACTTTCCTTGGCAAAAAACAACAACAAACATAAAAAAAAAAAACCCCACACACAAATCAAGTGTTAAAAGTGAACCTTGGACCGATGTTGCCAGTATCAACCTCATCACCCATCACAGCACCACTGACTCCACATGGGTCCTCCCTGCTCTCATTCCCATACACAAAACAAGCCAACTAATCCTAAACTTTTTCACACACTATAAAAATGCTGAAGAAATTCATTTTAGCCAGATAAAATTCCTGCCTAACCTCCCTGGCTCCACGCCCCTTTCCAACCACTCTTGTCAACAACTTTGGCAGAATTACTGACACGCTGACGGACAAAGTGTGCTTTCAGACATAGGCGCCCAGGTGTACTTACACAACCTGACAGTTTGTACAAGCAAACACAAGGATGCTTGTGAAAGGCCAGGTCAGGGAGTTCACCAACAGCAATGCCAAAATGTTCTGGACACACTGTTGCTGGGTTTGTGTGTAACGTCGCGGGTGTGTATTTGCAAGAATGTGACTGCGCGACTGTGTATGTTTGTGTGCACATGTGAATGTAATGCATTACAGACACATGAACACATAGGTGTGTGTGTGTATATATAAGTGTAGGGTTGGGTGAACCAATGGCTTACTGAAGACAGCTGGACTTGTGTCCTCAAGAACAGGCAGTGCATGTTGTGATTGGATGATATCACCCCTGTGCTGTGTCCAGTGATGACCAGTGTGTGGGACACTAACACTCTCACCCACTCTGTACAAATGTCCACTCCATCCTGCTGCTCTTCGAAGCTCTAATTCACTAGAATGTCTCAATTTCATTTTTTTTTTATATTAGGGGTGTAAAGATAAACTGATATGAATTGGAAATTGATACAAGAGTCAGATTTACGGCTGCATCAGTTGAAAAGCACAGATTCAAACCAAATGAGTTTTTCAAGATGGACTTCATAAACCAATCTTTGGCAAGTTTTCTGTTACTCCCTGCTGTGCTCCGCTCTAGTGTGTTCATCTCATGTGTGTGTAAGCACCATCTCCTGCTGGCATTCAAACACACCTCCTCCTTAACAACGCAGGCCCAGGAAAAATGCAGAGTTTCTACTTGCGAGGTCGGTGGTACACTGGGTATAGGCTACTCGACACAAGCGCTGCATGTTCTGCACTCTGAGGTAGCAGCTAAAACTAGCGCTGTTTGCTCCTGCAGCTTTCTGTACTGTGCGCTGCATTGCTCCTGAAATTCAATAAATCCATGATGTTTCCAAAGTCAATGAGTAACTGTGTTAAATAATAATCTCAATATTATTTTTACCATAATCGTGCAGCCCTACTTTAATATTAGCAGGAAGAGATACAGTGAGCCAAGATTACAAACATTTTTTGAGAACTTGGCAGACCCACCCATTGTTCCTGGACTTTGGAATCACAGAGACTTTAGCATTGATTGTAAATATTTGAATAAGTGACTTCATATTACACAAAAGGAATACTGACACTGAATAGCACAGTCCATCAGTACTACAACAAATAAAATGGAAAGACATAGACACAGGTGTTCACAACAGTAATTAAAAGCAAACATGTAATCCATGTTGATTATTGCAGCTACAAACAAGCAGAGCTTCAGACAGCTACGTGCACTGAATACCAAGGCAATCCTCTGAAGGCAGCCAGTGTGTGCTTCTTTTTCTGCTGCAACCAAGACCAACACTATGGACTAAATATGTTCTCTCTCTCTCTCATTCCTCTGTTATCTCTAATTAATAGTAGGATTTGATGGGATTCTTCTCCAGCTGCATCAAAGCTGAATGCTCACCATTCCCATAGGAATCAGGATGAGAGCCACATTGCTGAGCTGATTGATAAATTAATGACTTTTTCCCCAGAGAGATTCCATTTTAATTGCACAAACCAAAGCAGGCCAACTCATTAAAGGGCCTAACTGTGGAAATTACTGAAGAGAGATTATAATCTTGAATGGGAGACAAGGATATGGCAGTTTTCTACAGAACAGAAGCTGACTGGTCATTTTCATTTCTGAACCACAGCAAAAACCGACACTCTTGCCTGTGTGTAACAAAGGAAACAGAAAAATGAGGATGCTATCTGCTCTGAATGTTAGCAATGTGCAGGCAGAATGGTGGCGTAGTAAAAAGGTTCCGGGCTCGAGTCCCAGCCAACCCGTGGCCTTTCCGTGCAGTTTTAATGTTCTCCCTGTGCCTGCATGGGTTCTCTCCGGGTACTCCGGCTTCCTCCCCCAGTCCAAAGACATGCAGCTTAGGTTGACTGGTGACTCTAAATTGCCTGTAGGAGTGAGTGTGGGTGTGTGTGGTTGTCTGTCTCTAAGCGTCAGCCCTGTGATAGACTGGTGACCTGTCCAGGGTGGACCCCGCCTCTTGTCCATTGTCAGCCCCCCCCCCCCCACCCCCCGCGACCCTCTTCAGGTTCAGGATAAGCGGTATAGATAATGGATGGAAATGTGTGTGTATGCTTCTACCTCTGCAGTGAGGCCCCTCGTCCCAGCCATCGGAGCAGTCAGGGACCCCATCACAAAGTTTGCTCATATGGATACAGACATCCAGGTCCAGACACCCATGCTCATTGACAGGACACTTGTTCGCTCTGTTGTGTAGGCCTGAAAAACAAGCACAACACATCTAGGAAATGCAGCAATACAAAGTGGTTTACTGTGCAGAGTCAAACTCCAATAAATAAGTTTGATACAGTGGTAAAATGAACCTCTATAAATGCAACAGTGTACAGTGTGCTTGATTTGTGCATCTGAATCTAATTAGTCTTACCACATTTGTGAGAAGATTTTAGAGTATGTGGTTAGACTGTGGCTACAGGTGAGGACGAATTCCCTTAGAAAGTATCATACAAGGAAAGACCTCAGTCAAGATCAGAAGAATGAATCATCCTTAACAGCAGGACAGTTAAAAAAAAAAGTTTATTTTTTATCTTTTTTATAACCTTTATTTAATGAGGAAGTATTATTGCACATAAGAGTCATTTAAGTAGTGCAGGTATAGAAAAAAAATATTATATGTTGGACTTTTTGCCTTTCCAGTTTGTTTTTACCCTTACTGTGCACCTTGGCAGTGGGTGATGCTCTTCCAGTATGTACCTTAGTCAGAGTTAAAAAAAAAAAAAACCCGCACACACAAAGAGATACATATAAATATTGTCTATATTACCTGTTATATCATTATAGGATTTTAAAACTACCAAATAACAATATCAGTATCTGCCACAAATATTCAGAATCAGTCAAGCTATAGTAACAAGCCAGTGTTTCCTTTCACACAAGAATGTTTCCCTTTCTTTTACTCAAGCACAGACTGCTGGGGAACTTGCCAGACTAATAAACAAGTTGTGTAAATGTGGGAGCCCTCACTCTAAGCACAGCGTCTGGCCATAGGAAGGTCTTGATGGGGTTCAAGAGCACTAGAAGCGTAGGCTCACACCATATAGTGTACAACCTAAAGATGTACAACCATAACATTATGAACCTTTAAGTTCATAAGTTTCAATGTGGTCTGGGCACTTCCAGTATGAACATTGTATTACTTTCATGTTCACCACAGTAGCTTCCAGCTTTTCAATGAATTCCTCTCCTGTTGTGAGGTAGACCATACATCAATCAGCATTAAAAAGTGAATTCAGTCTAGAAAACCATTTTCACTGTATCCTTGTATCATCATTTTCATACATCAGTCTTGTTTTGCTACAATGCAACAACAGATGAAAGGTTAAATCCAACACCAAGATCTAACATACTGCATGTACAAGCTGTGTATGTTGGTCATATGAACATTACAGTAAAGTAACACTTAAACAAATGTGGTGATGCAGCAGATACTGAAGGAAGGAAAGCTATTAGAAACACTGACAAAGATATACGGAATCTAAAAGGGTGTGGAGGGCAAAGAACAAAACATGATCTCCTCTGGTCCAGAAAAAGCAATGATTTTTTTTTTTGTTAACCAGCGTGAGACCAGAACATACTGTAGATGCAGTTTCTTTGGCTCACTCTCTCCCACTCCTCTTTCTATCTCTCCTCTCAGCCCACACTGCAGAGCAAACTGTGCGCTTTGGTTGTTTTTCTTTTTCCTCATCCTCCTCCACCTCGCTCTCCCATCCTCTCTAACATCTGCTGACCCATTTTAGAAAAACACTAGAAGCAGAGAAAATAAAGTTTGCCTCCTTCACAGGAAACCATTTGTAGAGTTCTGAGGGTTATGTGTAGCGCTGGGACTTACTTTAAAAGCATGATATCTGAGTATGCACATCCTGAGCTGCAAACCTGTTTCAGATGCCTGCTTCAGAATCTCACACAAAGTCTTTGATGTCTGGATATTAGGCAGCTGTTGCAGCCAAAATGCAGATCCTTTGACCATTATTTCTACCTTTATATGGTGCTAATACTTATCTGAACTGAGAGTCTGAGGATACAGGGTGTCACAGCATATGCAAAGCCTGCCAAGCTGTAAATGTTGGAAACCTGGCAGGAACATGAAGATGGTTGACCTGACAGTATTTTATTTGTTTGTGTCAAGCATACACAGCTTTTATGCAGAGCTTGTATGTGTAGGTATGCATTTGCATATCAGCATTCCCTAACCCTCCCTGAAAACCCTAAACCACAAGCAATCCCTCTGAGTCCTCTTATCCATCAAAGAGATTAGTAACCACATATGAACATAAAAGGCAGCTCCATTAAAACAAGCACTTTAAAGTGACAAGAGTTTCCACAATGATCCCACCACAGCAGTCTGTGTGGAAAATGTGCCACATTCAAACAGAGAATTAGCTTCTAATACATCCAGCTTAGGGAGAAGGAGAGCGGCTCTCCCATCAGGGGGATGCTAGCACATTAGCAGCCCTCCTACAGCCCCAGCCTCTAAGCCACCCTGATTTACATTCAATAAACTGCCAACCTAGGGATTTCTACATGAACCGCAGTACCAGGAATAAAGTGCCATGAACAGTGGAAATGAAGCCCCGGTCAAGGTTTTTGCAGTATAAAAGACCAGTTATCTGAATGATATTCACTGCATACATCTCTGTGCGCACAGTATAAGCCCGTTCAACAAAAAAGTGATGCGTTGTGGATTGAGCAGCCAGACAGATGGACTGTTATCCAAGGAGCTGCAGCCCCCAAGAGACTGACAAGACAACTGCCCAAACTACTTTCACTCACACACACACACACACACACACACACACACACACATCTTTTCATTCCTCATGGGAACTTCATATTGTTTTACATTCATTTCCTCAAGACTTACCCTAATCTAACCTTAGGGCAAGTTTTCACCCTAAAACCTAATGATTTAGGCAGAGTGCCCACAGTGCAAGTGTGTGAACTTGTTTCAGTCTCAGCAATGAGAGACGAGATTGGAACTTGGCATACAACTGTGCACACACACCAACTTCTTCTCGCATTAGTGTGTTTCCAAAATTCTGGCTAACAATTGCCAGCAATACACAGCTGGAAATAGCTGTTTGAGTTCCACACACTAATGCCTTGGCAGGAGTTGAATATGAACCAGCAGCAGCAGCAGCAGCCTAAACTGAAAGGACAATACATAGGATTAAATAACTTTGCAGGAGGGACAAGGGAGCTGAACCCTGTACTCCCTGCTCTGGCTTGGGAAGTTGCTGGCCGTGTATTACAATAGGCCCCCCTCACACTGGCAGTGGCCATTTCCTGCGTCATCTGTCAGTGGAACCAGGCATTACAGTGCAAAGCTGAAGGGAAAGAATGCAGCTTAGCGTAATCTCTTCTTCATGCACACAGTAACACACTACAAACATTAATATAATATTCTGAAACTGTTCTATAAATGCTGGTTTGCATGTGAAAATATGTGGTTCTAGGATAATACCAGGATTTATGTCAGTAGGTGCTGAGCTGAAACTTGACTCCTGGCTGGAGTGTAGTATGTTGTACCTCCTATGTTTTGGAAGAAATCGGGTGATGTCTTGGACCAAATAGTCTGCCTGTGCTTTGCTTATGGTTTGCAGTGGTTTAGCTTCTTTGTACGAAACCTAGTCTTAGTCAAATGCCTTTTAAAACTACAAGTTCTTTTCCGAGCTTCAATTTTTATCGAACACAGAATAATCATTTATTGTGACCCAAAGAAAGATCTGGATAAATCTCATATTACTACTATTTCTCTGTGACAGTGACCAATTCCATGCTTTGTTCGTTTTGAAATGTCTTGGATCTGGTTTCTCCGGACAAATTAAAGTGGCCTTTTAACCAAATTAGGTTAAATGGTTTTCATTACATTACCAGTCCTAGATGTTGCATATTCTTTTTATGTCATTATCACAAACAGGATGGCCAACTCCTTCTCTCCAAGGACTTGGAGAGAAGTCTTGGATCTTGGATCCAAGATTTTTGGCATCTAGCATTTGGCACCTTTCACTGTCAATCTGGAGATTTATGTAGTGTCAGTGAAGCAACAGTATAGAAAGTAATGCATCAAGTCTGGAGAGACAGTTCTGAACTGAAAGATCATTATATCAAGATGTAGTTCCAGGATTTAAAAAACAAAACTTTAAGTTAGAGTTCCATTATTATGGAAATTTCCCAGTAACAATTGACTGTATAGATTATACAGACATCATATTCATATCCAAACGATCATTTCTAGGAGATACAGAGAACGCTGAGCTAAATATAATATTATTACAAGACTAGTCTTTAACAAGCTGTTGATCTATTGTTTGCCCTAAAGTGTCATTAGAGGTTCTTTGGAATTTACTATAGAGGTGAAAGGATATAATTATTACAGAGAATTATTTAACATGTCACCTCACTCAGGAATTTCACAGATTCCTCAGCCTTGGAAACAGCACTGTATGTAAGAACAACATACATTATGACACTTGGCAGTGGGGTGAGAAACAGACAAAGAAACCGGGTAAATTAAAGGCCTTAAACCTATTAGGGGGCAGAGTGAGGATAATTACATTATTGCACTACTGAGTAATTAGCTAACAGTGATATTAGCATATCCTCAGGGATCTTAACTGTTAAAACCTTTCTCCAATCTGCTGCATGATCTTGCTCACTCTTAGTGTTTTATATAAATCACCCATTAAAACGAGTGTTGGTATTCAAATGAGTCATAACATGGAACATATATTACAACAATATTTACTGAAACACTTATTGCAGCATACAGTTTAACACTGGGTTGTGGCGTGTGCTTCCCTCCGACACCTCAAACGCTGGACCACACCATCCCCCATCCCTCAGCTCCTGTAGTTCTCCAATGACCTTAAATTTTGGATCCCCTGTTGATCTTTTGTCCTGAGCATAAAAGGCTCCTTTTCTTCCTGCTCTCTGGGTTCCATGGCAGCCCCTGACTGACTTGCATAAAGTTTGCTGTCAGCTCGAATTAATATGCTGTGCAAAGTGACAGGTAGGCCTGACTACTGACTGACCATCCCCACACTGGAATCACACTTTACAGCGGCATGCACAATGAGCACATGGTTATGCTAAGCCCTACTGAGGCAGCCATAACCTACAGGGCTTGCACTATAGCATGTAGCACTCTCAGCAGAAGACCTGATGTGTTTTCCTCCAATAAGCTGAGCATAATTTTAGAATAT